TATTAAGGGTATAATAGTTTTTTCAGTTTCTTTTGTTTAGCCTATATATAGTCTCTTTGTATTTATGTTAAATTATCTTTTTGTATTCAACTGCATTATGTAGAATCAATGAAACCATATCCTCCTATTCTTTTTCTTTATTTCTTTAGATTGTTTAACATTATCAACATGTTTTAACCCCCAATAAACATAAAAGATGCCCACATTTTCTGCTCATAGATATATAACTATAGAAAGGGATGTAATAGCCGCGAGTTTTGTTGATCTGGGAATTTGTATTAATATCAAATTCAGTAGTTTTACTGTTGAAAAAGCATTTTCCATGGGCCAGAAAACTCTATTGAGAGATGGTAGATTAAGATGTTGTTTCTCGTTCATCAAAAATGTCAATTCTTTATGATAAAATGTTCATGCAAGTCACCTTATTTCTAATATTTTGTTGGGTTTCATTTATTTTATATTAATTGGTAATATCTCGGTGGTGTCATGGATTCCGAAGTCTTATTATGGGTTCAGGTTTTGGAGGTCTGGGACTTTTCCTCTATGTGACGGAGGCCATGTGAAGGACAATAAGGCTAAAGGAGATAACGTTGGACTTCTGCTCCTCAAGAAGCAGTAAAATAACTTTCACGTCATTTGAAAATAAAATTGAGGTTTTCTTTAGCTGTTAATTATGAGTCAATTGTCACCTCGTATTCCTCTATTACTGTTAAACCTAGATTGAGATCTTTAGCTAATTGATTTGGATTATTCCAAATGTCCATAAGAATTTTTCATTGAAATTTTACACCCTCTCTCACGTGTGTGTGGGGCTCATCAGAATAAAAAATGAAATCCCCCCCACCCCACCCCACCCCACCCCACCCCACCCCAGGTCCCCGTATTGTGAGTATGTGTGAAACCACTCATCCCCTTCTTTTTACAAGTGTAGAAAAGTGAGATTGATTTAACTTAAAATTGCAATGATTGGACAATATGTCCTTGTTGATCGATAAAGAAAAAAATCAAACGATTGACAAGGCAATATCAACTAAATTGATTGATTTTGATTTCACATTTAATTAATGCCAAATTTTGGTTATGGAATGTCCTATAGATCACTGGATGAGAGAATCTTAGCCCCTCTTTAATAATTTGTTTGATATTAGTTATAAACAGATTGCTTCAAGACTTTGTCATTTTGTCCCACTATAATTCTCACTGCAGCGAATATATTTTGCTTTTACATGAAATGCAAACTTTTCAATTAAAATAACATATGGGATAGGAAACGCATATGGAATAGGGTGACAATCGGGTTGAGCCACTCATCGGTTCGATCTATGAACGGCTCAAACTCCTATAGAAATGAGTGGAGCTCAAATATTATTTTTTTCTTTTAACAAGCACTTGCAAGTCGATTGCTCGGTTCATGGATGGCTTCACTCCACTCATTAATTACATGAGATGATTGACCGGAGTCCAGGTTGTGGACACGAATAGATCTCAACTCATTCAAGAACCGAACCAGCTCGACTCGTCCATTATCCTCACTAATCAAGACATACAGCTATAAAAAGTAGACCGTCACCGCTACCCAACTGGCATTTGCTAGTGCAATCTCATTCTCAACTATTAGCTTTTGTTTTATTTCACAAATAATTGCGTGTTGGTGGGTTCTTCCAAGTTTGCGCCCATGACGACAAAGCCTTCATTGCCATCATTGGCTCAATTTCTAACTTACTGTCATGCTTCAAATTTCAAAATCTGGCTGCTGGCGCCGGCCTTGATAAATACTAAAAACAACCTTCTTTGAATTGTTCTCTCTAATATTTTTAATACCAATTTGGCAATTTCAAGGTATAAAATTAAAATTGAAGTCAAATTTAATTTTGATCATACATTCTACGGCACTCATAACTTTTCAATCATATATTTCATTAATTTTTATCAAAATTATACTAAAAAATTGATTTTAATCCACCCCAAACAGTGATATGGACTCACATTTGGTCATCTCTTCTACAGTTCTACCCGATTACAACTCAAATTTTGAGTGAATATAGCCAATCATTCAAATTCTTTGGATTGAGTGCCAAAAAATACAATGTTGGTGCGTTTGATTGTCAATATTTTTCATGAAAAATGTGTTTTTTCCATCTAAATTTGTACTTTTCCTGTTTGATTGACATTGTTTCTACGGAAAATATTTTCCCATTTTTGGTCACGTGACCATATTTTCAAGGAAAATATGGAAAATATTTTCTTTTGCGAGAGGCGGTTTTTATTTTTCAGGTTGTTGACTCTCTCTCTCTCTCTCTCTCTCTCTCTCATCTACCTACCAATAAAAAATGAACAAGTATAATTTTCTTAGATTGGAAACTAAAGCAATCAAACACATTTAATTAATAATTTCCATACAAATAATTTCTAGGCAATTCTGAAATTTATTTTATTTCTATACAAGTTCCATACTCGCAATCAAACGCATGCTAATAGCAACATGATTTTTATTTTATGCCTGTTTAATACTTTCCAATTAAATCTAGTCCATGTTCGGTGTAGATTAAAATTTAAGTCAAAATCAACAATTAATTTTAGCCGAACATTTTATTAGATTAACATCTTTGCAAACACATTTCATCAATTCTTATCAAAATTTACTAAATATCTAATTTTAATCAACATCAAATATGGGCTAATATTATGGACTAATTGGTAGTGTATAAATAGAATTTTTATTTCTTTTCATCTTCGAGTCCAGAGTAGGGACCTGCATTTTGATCCAAACCACTCGAACATGGCAACAAGATCTATCCCACCAAACTAGTTGATAGGAGAAGGTTCGTTTATAGTTAAAATTATCTCATTTTAGGTATTCGATTCGAAAATTTTATTGAATTTGGTATTTTCCTTGGTGGTGGTAACGTGTTGAGCAAAATTACCCTTAATAGCCTGATTTTAATTTAGGCCCTCAATTAAATACTTGTCTCTTCTCCAGCTGATCCTTTCAATACCCATAAGCCTTGAGCTTCAATTCCACTGTCCTCCGCTACCTCCAATTCCCCTATTTCTTCCACTGTGACCGTCGACGGAGTAATTACCACCGATACTACCACTCAAAAGTTAGCTTCTAGTTCACGGCAATACCAACAAATTGTCGGCGGCAACCGCCATACACGACCAAGGCTGATGCTTCCCATTTCCAATGACTCATCACCCAAACAACCCGCAAATCCAAAACCACAAAACCCAGAAGTTTTAGAACGTAAGAATTTGTTCAACACACTAAAACTCTACCTCCCTTTCCACCACCGCCGCTTATGGTTTTTCCTCGCCGTCGTCCTCCTCCAGCTCCTCCTCCTCCTTTCCGCCCCCTCTATCCCTTTGTCCCATTCCACCGCCGGCACTCCCAACTCTTCCCCCACCATACAAAATCTTACTTCCTGCTCCACCGCGGCAACCTCAATTATTACCACTATTAATAACAATAACCCCACAACCTCTGGAAGCTGCCCATATGGTAAAGTTTATATTTACAACCTCCCGCCACTTTTTAACTCCGAGATAGTGAAAAATTGCCATGATTTGAACCCATGGAATTCACGCTGCGACGCTCTATCGAACTCGGGGTTCGGCAAAACCGCCACAGGGATTTCAAAAGTCGTCCCGAAAAATATAAGCCCTGCATGGTTTTGGACCGACCAATTCTCGACGGAGCTAATTTACCACAATCGAATGCTGAATTACCAGTGTAGAACCTTGGAAGCAGAATCTGCTACTGCTTTTTACATTCCGTTTTACACTGGACTCGCGATCGAGAAGTATTTGTTCACCAGCAACTCCACAGCACAAGAACGCGATCAGTACTGCAACATGATGCTGGATTGGGTGAGTGATCAGCAGTACTTCAAGAAATCAAATGGTTGGGACCATTTTATTTCCATGGGCCGGATTTCATGGGATTTTCGCAGATCGAAAGAGGAAGATTGGGGTTCGAGTTGCATTTACATGCCCAAAATGCGTAACATAACGCGGCTGTTGATTGAACGGAACCCTTGGGACTACTTCGACGTCGGAATCCCTTACCCAACCGGATTCCACCCCAGCTCTACCGTTGACGTCATCAATTGGCAAGAATTCGTCCGATCACGGCGGCGGAACACCCTCTTTTGCTTCGCCGGCGCAACAAGGGGAATTATAAAGAACGATTTCCGGGGGATTTTACTGAGTCAATGCTATAACGAATCAGATTCATGCCGAGTCGTGGATTGTGCCGGGTCGAAGTGCGCAAATGGTTCCTCGGAAATTCTATCCACATTTCTCGACTCGGATTTTTGCTTGCAGCCAAGAGGGGATAGTTTCACTCGGCGGTCCATTTTTGACTGCATGGTGGCCGGTTCAATCCCGGTTTTCTTCTGGCACCGGTCGGCTTACGTTCAGTATGAGTGGTTCCTGCCGACCGAACCGGAAAGTTACTCGGTTTTCATTGACCGGGATGAGGTGAAAAATGGGACCTCAATAAAGAGTGTTCTTGGAAAAATTAGCAAAGAAAAAGTGAAAAAAATGAGAGAAAAAGTAGTTGAAATTATACCAAAAGTTGTGTATGCAAAGCCCAATGAAGGATTAAAGGGCATAAAGGATGGATTTGATGTGGCTGTGGAAGGGGTATTGAGGAGAATTAAGGAACATCAACGAGGGTATAAATGGAAATAAAAAATAGTTGAATTGTGTTAATTACTTAGATTGGTATAATCATTTTTTTTTTGTATGTTATTAACTTATACTTGTTTTATGTATTTGTAAACACATTTATACAAATTACAATACAAAAATAAATGAGTTTTTCCTCTTTATTTTGGGTTTTTGTTTTTATTGGATGTAAATTATTGGAAGATAATGCCATTTGTGATGTTCCTTTCATAGGGGCGCAAAGCAAACATTAATGTCTCTTTTCATGTATGGGTGTTCTCATGTTTCTACAAATCTCTATCAGCTCAAACACCAAAAAAAATATACGGGTCGATGACGACTTTTCAAAATAGACCTTAAAAGATAGATTTTAAAGATTAGTAATGCTATGTAATCCCACTGGAGTTACAACCCCAGTCTAGGTGGCTCTAAATAAAATGTGAAATTAAATAACTTATTTAATTTAATCTATCATTTAATGACACATTAACGTCACATAAACTGAGGTTGTAACTCTAGTAGGGCTACATAGCATTACTCCTTTAAAGAGTAGCCCTTCTTCATGTACAATAACGATTATTTGATTGGTGATTATTTGTATGGAATGATGCCACAAGGATTTGTCTTCATGAACCCACGATAGTAAATAATAAGAGAAAAGACGAAATCAAACACTTAATAACATATTTGTATTTGTTTAATTGAGACCTATTGTGCATATACTGATGCTTAATCCCATATTCTGCTCGTGGAATGGTCAACATTTTTATACAATTGTTAAACTTTTTGTTTGTGTTCAATAAAAAATTATTTTATCTATATTTAATATTCTTGACAACGTGTGCTAAATATAAGTGCGGTTGAAATGGTTGTTGTATATCGAACAAACAAAAAGCAAAGTTTAATCCGTATGAGTGTGACTAAACATTATAACAAGATGATTGGAAATGTAGTATCAAAACTACAAATGAAAATAAATGGCAGCCAAAAAATAAAGAAAAAGAAGAACAATCCGATGCAAGTGATTTTCACTATTTTTTAAAGACAATTGCCCCGCAACGGTGCTCACAGTTCACGGTACTTGTCTCCTAACATACAACAAATTCAACTCGTGATAGAAGCACTTCAAACCACAAGTTACAGCGAACTTTCGACGGAGTTTCTCCCTACAAAGAAGAAAACGGTTTTGAATAAATTTGGAAGTAATTTGCAAGAGTTTCTATGCAATGCTCAATGCAAATATGGTATGGGATGCCTAATGGACGTCCAAGGGGTCCTATATATAGAGAATGAGGGGTCGCTCAAGTGAGAGTCTAGCGTCAGGCGAGCGACACATTTAGGCAAATATCCAGCAGTTTCCCATGTTTTCTTCCTAACTTTCGACCGCAATTTCTCATTCATTCGAAATTGATTTTGAGATTTCAAATATACTGTGACGATCTACTCGACGACTAGAACAAGTTGATCTATTTACATTTGTAATTTGACCATCAGATAAGTCTGAATATTTGGTCGAAATAGACAAGAAAGTTACTTTTCCAAGTTTTTGGTTTTGACACTTAATCAAATTTTCAATTTTTTCAATCTTCTAAATCAATTTCCAACAGATATTGACTTATTTTGCTAGATTAGTTTGTTAAACAAATAAGTGCTCATTTATTGTTATAGTATGTTTTAATATAAAAAATTGTTCTTAAAAAATCGAGCACAAATTGAGAAAGACTCGAATTTTTGGCATCAAGGAGTGTCTCCTAGAGCCTCGGGCCACTTGTAACACTGTGTGAGGTGTTAACCTTATATTACCTCAAATGCAAAACTCAGTACAAGAAAGTAAAATAATTATGTATACGGAGAATGTGAAAATAAGTGATTGCATATCTTCAGCGAAGAAATAAGGACTACGAACATGTTCGGCAATAAATATTGGAAACAATACACAAAACCTACATATAAGAATTACTTTTCAAAACTAACAAACTTGTCTAATTATTTCAAAAATTAGGTGGTAAATAGATTTATTAAATATTAAATTATAATATAANCAACTTCCAAATTTTTCTAGAATTTTTTTGTCACAATTGGTCACCACGAGTCCCAATTCACAAATCACAATCGGTCACAAAAGGGCACAATCTGTCACAAACAGTCACAACGAACTACCTGATAGTCAAATCGCGATCTAACACTATAACTTTCGGCCGCCGAACCACCACCACAATCAACAGAAACGCATCTCTACCATTTTGCAACCCACCAACAACCTCCTTCACCACTAAACAATCAACAACCATTACCACCTCACCACCACCATCTTCCACAGTCCCGGATCCACTTCTGCTTCTCCTCTTTGATCCGCTTCAGCAGAGCGGCCTAATCCAACTCCTTCTGGACAAAAACTCGATTCGCCTTCTTATCGACCTTTTTCATGCTCTTTTCGAGCTCCTTCTGTTCCTGTACAGCCAAGCAGCGCGCCTCGACCTTTTTAGTGGCGAGCTCAACTTTCTTCTAGGCTTCCTCCTCACGTTGCGTGACTTAGCCCCTTCGACTTTGCGCTCGTATAGATCTTCCTTCTCTCGGCTATCGCACTCGGCTTCAACTTCAGGAATCTTTACGAAATATTTTTTGTATATTTTGATTGGGGAAGATTATTAAGGTTTGGGGTTGGATGAAGAGGAAAATGATGAAAAAGCACCAGAAGCCTTCGCCGGTGAAGAGATGTCGCCGTTGAAGATGAGTGAAAGATGAGAAACACGAGTGAGGAAGAGAGGGAGTGAAAATAAGAAGCGGGTTTGGGAATGAATGATTTATTAATTACAATTAATAATTCTATTTAACACCTGATTTGTGAAAATAAAACTTAATCCCCTTCTTTTTGAAATGTTATCTTTAAATGCAGGTTTTGAGGTAATTTTCTTATAAATATTTGCTTTCTTATAAACTAGGGTACCAGAAATTGTGTCAAATAAGTTGGGAGCTTATATAGGTTATAAACTGGGCTTATAAATTTTGGTCCATGTTGTTGGGTTTTGATACCCAATAAATTCTGATTAATGTTATTAAATGGTTTGGATTAAATTTCATAGTGCTCGCCTGATATATGAAATTATTATCGACACTTCAATTTGTTAGCTTGACCCGAAAACAACTCGAGTATTGGATGCTACTTAATTAAATAATGTTGTTCAAAGCCTATTTACTTCTTGGATGGTCCTTTTAATGTGTAGGCCCACTTACCTTGAGTTAATCTATTTGTTTACCTATCCCTAAATCTATAAATAAGCCTCTCTTTGGGGATTAACGTGTGTGGGTATTTGCAAGAAACCGTGGCTTCATCTCTATTATTCTCTCCCTTTGTGCATTTGACTTTAAACTTTTTTCCTCCATTGTTTATCCTCCTTTGTGGCTGCAAATAACCACCAAAATTGTGTCATCTGTGGGTACATTAAACTGGGCAACCGAAGTGAATACATAAGTTGTGGGTTGAGCAAATCGATTGATCGGTGTTGAAGATTGGTAGCTTGAGACTGAGCCCCGACTTCCACCAAATCAAAGTTCTTGGAGCATACTTCCGTGACACGTACAATTTGTAAAAATTAATTTTTTAAGAAGACAAAATTTTATTTAGGAAAAATTGCAGCTACGGTACCGGACCTTTCACTTTTTTGCTGATTTTGCCCAAACCTTTCATTTGTGCCACTAGAGGTACCAAATCTTTAAAAATATCGCAGTTGGAGTCCATTTGACCGTTATTTGACCATTAAAATCTGGTTACACGCAGTCAAGCAAAAATCAAAATCAAAATCTGTATTAAAGAAGGAAAAAAGCTAAAAAATTTCAAGTATTACAGATCAAATACCTAAGAGAAAAAGCTGAATTCTTGAATCAAGAACACCATAACTCAAATGAACTCAAACCCATAAAAATTCAATAAATCAAGAAATCGAATAAATGAGAACAATAAAAAAAACCAACCTTGGTGAAAACACAGATTGCTTCAGCCATTATTTCTCCCAAGAAATTAAAAAAAAAAAATCAAAAGGGCCCTTACCAGAAAGCTCAGATTCATCTCTATATATATTGTATCGAGGGAATTCCTTATCATATATTTTGCTTCCATTTGTGTTTTGAAGGCTTGAACTTCGTACCTGTTTGTTGCTCGAACGACGATTCAGAAGTGTACAATGGACCACGATGGCTCGCATCGGTGGTACTATGCAGAGAAAATGGTAAGAACCTTTCGATAAATTACTTCCTTTAGATTTCGGGTTATACAGAGAAATGGTAAGAATCTTAAGTGCTTGACAGCGTGTAACCAGATTTTGATTTTGGCTTCAAGAGGCAAGGCAAAGCGAGACGGGGGGAGGAACAGTGTTCTTCCAATTTTTTTTTATTCTTTAATATTTTTATTTAATCACTATAAGATTATTTTATGTGTAGAATAATATAAAAGTACCATTTTACCCCTTCTAAATTAGTCAAAAGAGGTCAATTTTTTTAATGGTCAACTAATAGTCAAATGGATGGATTCCATCCATTTGGACTCCAACTGCAATATTTTTAAAGGTTTGGTACTTCTGGTGGCACAAATAAAAAGTTTGGGCAAAGTCTGCAAAAAAGTGAAAGATTTGATACCGCGGCTGCAATTTTCCCTTTTATCTATTACATTCTACATAGTCGAATTCTATATAATAGTGCCTATAAAACAATACGGATCCGTTTGATTGCAAGGGTGGAAAATGGATGGAAAGAAAATGAATTCTAGGGAAATTAATTTCCTAGAAATTGTTTTGTAGGGAATTGTTAATTTAGTGTGTTTGATTGATATAATTTTCCACCGGGAAATTTTTTAAATTTTGTGTTCGTTTGACTTTGTGTTTACATGAAAATTGTCCATTAAAGTGATAATTTTTTCCACAATTGGTTATAAAATTTGTTTCCATTGCCAAAAGGACCAAAAAAAAAAAAAAATTTCCTTATCTTTGTTTACATGAAAATTGTCCATTAAAGTGATAATTTTTTCCACA